CACCAATTCAACCAAAAATCCTATACCTAGTAAAGCTATTTTTAAAACATGAATGCAAAATAAATGTTGTTCCAGATGAACAAAAACATGAGAATTCATTCACAGCAGACTTGCCTTATAAGGAATATACTGAGAGAAGTTCTTGAGGCTGAAACCAAGCAACTCCAGAGAGTAATACCAATCTCCACACACACATATACACAATTCCCACCACCACCATTACCACTAAAGGTAACTGTAATTACAAAAAAAGTGTATATATATATACATATATATATATATATATCCCCACTGCCATTGAGTCGATTCAGACTCACAGCAACCCCCATCAGGCTTCCAAAGCTGTAAATCTTTATAGAAGTAGATTCTCCCGTCTTCTTCCTGCAAAGCAGCCGGTGGGTTTGAGCCACTGACCTCCTAGCCTTACCCACTATACCATCAGAGCTCCTAATATTATATATGTATGATGTTGTTGTGTACCGCTGAGTCGGACCCGACTCATGGCGACCCCTCCTTGGATTTCCAAGGCAGTATCACTACGGAAGTAAGTTGCCCAACCTTCCTTCTGTGTGTATATATATATATATGTATGAATATATTTATATACACACATACACCCACACCACACACATATATAACCCAAACTCACTGGCATCAAGTCATTTCCAACTCGTAACAACCCCCATTTGGGTTTCCGAGGTGGTAAATCCTTACGGAATAGATCGCCCCCATCTTCCTTCCACAGAGTAGCTGGTGGGTTTGAACAGCTGACCTGGTTAGCAATCAGTGCCTTATCACTATGCCACCAGAGCTCCTATATAATATATAGTTGATGATATATTTTCATAATGTTTATTATATTTTTAAGTATAAAATGTAATACATAGTCAATATCTGTTGTATTTGCCATCAAGTCAGATGCGACTCATAGTGACCCCTCCTTGGGTTTCCAACGCGGTATCTTTATGGAAGCAGATTGCCCAACCTTCTTCCCAAGGAGTGGCTGGTGGGTTTGAACCGCTAGCCTTCTGGTTAGCAGTCAAACACCTTAGGTACTACGCCACCAGCGCTCCCATAGACAATATAGTTGACAATATATAAAAACCTAAAAAACAATTCCATTGCTGTGGAGTTGAATTCTGACTCACAGTAACTCTACAGGACAGAGCATAACTGCCCTGCAGGGTTTCCAAGACTAAATCATTACTGAAGCAGAATGCCTCATCTTTCTCAGCTAGTAGGTTCAAACCTCTGATCTTTCAGTTAGCAGCCAAGTGCTTAACCACTGCATTAACAGGGCTCCTTTGAAATATATATATATACACACACACATACAACTTTCGTTTTCAGCTCCCTATTTTTTAATTTTTATTGTGATTTGGGTTAAAGTTTAGAGAAAATTCATTTTCCATACAGCAGTTCATAGACATTTTGTCTCGTGACATTGACTACAATTCCTCACAATGTTAACCGCTCTCTTCCCACTTCCTCCCCATAGTTACCTCTTCCCTGTGCTCTTCCCTCCCACGTACTCCCACCCCCTGAGCTCTCTCTCTGTGCAAACACTGCCTTTCTGTTCTCCCATGATTGATAGCTCCAAGAAGTGTATCTACCTGATATAAATGTTCACCCCCTATGCCTGTAAAATATTGTTTGGCTGGAAGCCACAGGAGTAAAATTCCAGACCTGAAAGGTAGCTAGGGGGACATAGTCCCAGGGGTCTCACCAGGCTCTATCAGACCAGCAAACCTGGTCTTTTTTTTATGATTTTGAGTTTTGTTCCATATTGGTCTCCCACTCTATCCAGGATCTCCTGCACCACTCCCCCTCTGAGTGGTTGACACTGGTACCCAGGTACCATCTAGTTCTATCTGGTCTCATGGTCATATAGACTGAGGATCACACAGTCTACCAGTCACTTGGACTAATTGTTTCCATGTGTCTTTGGTTTTCTTCATTCCTCTTTCTTCAGGATGAGGAGAGACCCACTGTTGCATCTAGATGGCCACTTGCAAGCTTTTAAGATTCTAGGAGCTACTCACCAAGGTAGGATGTAGAACAATGTTTTTGTGTAGTATGTTATGCCAATTGAACTTGATGTCCCCGCAACCATGGTTCCAAGCCCACAGGTACAACTACTTGCTCCCTCTGGGTATCAGCTCCCTATAGTATTTCTTAGTTTCTCTCTACATGTTTTTGCTTTCTGCAGGCTTAGAGTAAGTTAAAAATAGACTTTACTTTTAATAATTAAAAGTCTGTATGTAAAATAAACTTCCTAAAAATAACAATGTGTACTTTTCCTTTCTTCTCTTAAGAAGCAATTGTATAAAAGGATATACATAAACTTTACTGTTTGACCTGTGACATAAAAGTTTTTAGGTTTATAATATATAATACAATATAAATGTATAATGTATTATATAAGAGAGGCATCTCAGTCTCCTGCTCACTCACACCTGCCTCTGGGGTTTATCCCCTTACATCTAGCCCTTCTCTCCATTCTGAAGGTCAGGAAGCACCTCTTGTCTGTGTCATACACCAGCCTCCCTCCACACCAGGTGCAGGAAGTCTCTGGTTTAGCATGAATTCTGCTCCTGTTCCTCTCCAACTAAAATCTCTGCTGCCTACAGGGGCAAGCCCGACTCCTCCATTCCACATGTACAACCTTCTTAAGTCCAACCCCTCCTCCACCGCCTAATACCTACAATTTATATTTCTGCCTGCTGCCTGAACTTAATCTGGCCATTGACCCCTATGCACATGAGGTTTCCATATCCCTCAGCCTAATGGTCCTTCCTTAAACCAGATTCAACCTCATGTGCAGCCACCACCTGTCAGTCAGTGGAGGCCTGTGTGCTGCTGTGAGGCTAAACAGGTTTCAGCAGCGCTTCCAGGCTAAGATAGACTAGGAAGAAAGGCCTGGTAATCTACTTCCAAAAATCAGCCAGTGAAAATTCTATGGATCACAACAGTCCAATTACCAACTGATCACGGTGATGGAGCAGGGTTGGGCATGGGATTGCCATGACTCAGGGCAGGCTCGACGACAGCGAACAACTTAAGGCCCAGCTCTGACGCCGCCTCCACCCAGACAGAGTGCCCATTTTGCACCCCCTCTCTGTAGCAGCACTGACTGCACTGAGCTGGAAAAGTCCCTCTTCGTACCCACTCCCGACCCCACCCAATTGCAGCTACTCATGGGTAGGCAGAGGTCATAACCCCAGTACCGCCTGGGGCCACCCATGTACTCTCACTCACCCTGCGGTTCCGGTTGTGATCCATGGTCTTGAGGTGCTTTTGGATGACCCCAAATTGCATGGGAATGAAGAGGTCACAGGCTGCACAGTGAGCCGCCTCTACCTTCCTCACAAAATGCTCCATGGCAATTTCTGTGGGGGGACAAAGAGGGAGTCTCCTCTGGCCCAGGTGCCTATGACAGATCCAAGAGCTTGCAGAAAACCCAGATCAGCCCCTCAGCCCTCACCTTACTGCCAAGTGGCTTAAAGTGGTTCCCACGGACTGCCCCATCCCTGAGGAAGAGGGGGCGGGCCAGGCCCTGCCTGCCAGGTGGGGGTAGAACCTTCTCACCTTGGGTCAGATCCTGGTCTCTATAGATCTGCTGGATCAAACCATCAAGGTCCTCAACAGTTTTCCGGAGCTCCTCTGTCTTCTTGGTCTTGTTGGAGACGTACTCCTGCCAGAGACACCCAGAATTTATGGGATCTGGTCTGTAGCCCGGGGCCCACAGAAGCTAAGCAGCTGTGCTGCTCCAGGGTTCACCTGCAGGAAGTCAGCTGTCTGCTTCGGGAGCTTGGTGCCCACGAACTTGAAGTGCTCCTTGTGGAACTTGCTATCCAGGTGGCTGGCCATCTCATCCTCATAGAAGGTCCGGTATTTACAGAGAGAACACACAAACTGGATCCTGCCACAGGAGAGAGATGGGAGGCTGAGGCTGAGAGAGCCTCAGGGAGTGGTGCTGCTGCCTCACCCAACCCAGCTGCAGGCCCTGAAACAGGCCCTGCTCACGGGCCTCTTGAGGTGGCCCCACACGGGGGGGCAGGCTGGGGCAGGGGATGGGAGTAGAAAGGGACAGAACGTCTGCAGGCTGCAGTTACTGCAACGTAGGGCCAGGGGAGGAGCTCTTCCTTCCCACAGGCAGAAGGCTGGGCCCAAAGCAGCAGCTGCTGCAACAGGCAGTGAGTCGATGGACGGCTGTGGAGGGCATCACTGCCCAGGCGGGGCAGGAGCACGTGCACTCGGCTCAGCTGGGGACCAGAAGGCAGGCTGCCCTGGCTCAAGCCAGGTGGCCTTGAGATGTGGAGTGCGCAGTCCTGAGGCAGGGCCCAAAAAAGGTGCTGCAGCTTCCTTCGGGGGCCTGGGGGACTCAGAGGCCCAGCCCATCCTCTGCTCAGAATGCTCAGGGGTGGTGTCGGGAGGGACGGGAGGGAAGCAGGCCTGGGCCCCGGCCGCCTCGTCTTCCTCTTCCAAGAAGAGACCAGTCTGAGCTGGAGGAGGGCGCCCGCCTGGTCTGCCAGAGGGCAGCCTGGAGTCACCTGGGCGAGGTGCTCTGTCTGGGCCTGGTGTCCACAGTAGAAGCCCGGGGTCTGGGGCCTGGGCTGGAGCAGGCCGCCGTGGCAAGGGGCGGAGGAGGCCAGCCGCCACCGAGGCCTCGAGGCGGGTCCCTACCTCTGCCGGACGTCCTTATCTGGGCCACACGGGGTCAGCTTTGTCTGGAGAGCCCAGGGGCCAGGCGCCGGCGAGGCTGAGGAAGGTCCAGCAAGAGCAAGAGTCTGAGGCGGAGGAGGAGGAGGAGGCAAGCGCCAGTGCGGGAGCCCTGAGGGCAGACAGACCCGACCAAGGGGCGTGAAGGACTCAGCCACAAACAGCCTGGCCTGGTGGGGCCGGCGGTGGGGCAGAGGGCAGGCCTGCAGCTGCCACGGCCCACAGGGGCTGCCGTTTCTCCTGGGTGCAGCGGCGGCCTCCTGGCAGCTAGCTGGGGCGGCACGAGCGCCTTGGACCTCGAGTCTCTGATGAGCTGGCCCCCTCCCTCGGGGGCATCGGGCCCCCAGTGCACCTTGGGGCTCGTGCGCCGAGTGACTTAGCGCTGGAGCTTCTGGGCAACGGTGCCGAGCAGTGTCGGGTCTCGGGCCAAAGACTCCAGCGGTCGCCAGGCGGCCACAGAGGAGCAGGGGATGAGCCAGACCTTAGGAGCTGGGCCTGGCGGGAAGCAGGGGCCATGCATGGCCGAGCAGGTGCGGCTCTCGAGGGAGGCCAGGGTGTGGCGCGGCGGCAGAGCTACAGCTGCTCTCCTGGCACAGCCTGCAGTGGGCAGAGGTGGGGGAGCTGGTTACCTTTCTACCATACGGTCACGCTGCCGCTTCTTCTGCTTGTCCTGGCTCTTCTTGCCTGCCTGCAGCTTGCGCTTGGCCTGGCTGCTCTCATCCTGGGTGGTCAGGGCCCCTGTGGAAGCAAAGGGAGCAGTCACAAGCATGGTTTAGATGGCAGAGCAGGCCTTGGAGCTGGAACCCCACTGTCTGCTCAGAGCGCCCATCCAAGCTAGGCCTCTCACAAAGTGGGATTGGTCTGGCTGGGGAGAGTTTGGCTGAGTCCCCGACAAGGAGGACACTCTATGCAGAGTGGGCCATAGGCAAGCTAGAAGTGAGAAAAGCTGTCTCCGTAGTGACAGTGGCCAAAGTTAATGACCCTGTGGTGGGTGCAGGGAGGCTGCAAATGGGGTCCAGGTGCAGCCCCCAGGGCCAAGGCCATGGAGCTCATGGTGCCCTACCCACCCTCCTGCATGCACTGCAGCACCGTGGACAGAGGCTGGGCTGACTGTTAGATACCTACTGGTGTTGGTGCTCATCACTCAGGTGGGAGGGACACAGCTCCTAGCAGTAGCTGGGGAAGTGCTAAGGGAGAAGACTTACAAACCAGAACTGGACAAGCTGTACCAGGGTCCAAGTTCGGACCCCAGTCACTGAGGACTTGCAATCGTCAATTACTGAGGGACTGAAAGTGTGCCTGGGGGTCCCCACACTTTTGCTCCCTGTCCCCCCAACGCAAGGCAACAATCAGCGTGCTAGGTAAGGGCCATTGCTGTCCATAGACTCGGCCTGGGATGGGAAGAGTAAGGGGTGAGAGGAAAGGGGAAGGGAGAAAGGGAAAGGAAGATGAGGAGGAGAAGGAAAGGAAGCAGTCATGGTCCCTGCCAGGATACACCGGCCCCACAGGAAGAGCCCCAGTGGCCACATTTCTACCACTGCCCAGGCTGGCCCCTCCCCCACGAGCATCCAAAAGAGCCCCAATCTGGTCACCAGACTCACCTGAATCCTCTTTGCTGTCCTCCTTCCCATCCTCTTTTCCCTCCTCATCCTCTCCTTCCTAGCACACAAGTTCAGAACATAACTGTGAGATGTGTGCAGTCATTTCCAGTGACTCTAAATGACAAGTGCTATGCTGGGCAGGGCACTGGGCTGGAGCTGCTTAGCCTCCCAACACCCTCTCTCTGGTAAGGATACAGCAGCTCTGAGTGGTGGCTGCTCACACCTGTGTGCTTTCCAGTAGATGGCACTGCCTCCTCACTCTGGCCACCCTGCTTTGGGGCCCAGGGTTACCCACAGACAGAAAAACTCAGGGCTGAGGCACTCACCACTCGGGAACCCTTCTCTACTGCCTCGGAGCCATCAGCAGCCTCAGTGGTCTCACCCTCAGTGCCCTCATCTGGAAGGGGAAAGCAGATGAGCCCAGCCCAGAGCCTGCGAGAGAAGCTGAGGCAGCCCACCTGCCCATCGACTCACCGTTTTCAGAGTCACTATTGTCAGAGCCATCCGTTCTGGAGGCCTTGCTGTCAGGCTCATCAGGACTGCCTAGCTGCTTCCTCTTCTTCTTTTTGGTCTGCATCGGGAATACAGCACTGGTCAGCAGCAGGGACATTCTGGCTACTCCCCACACCCCCAGCCAGGGTGTCAGGGCTGGTGGGATGAGGACAGCCCCACTCACCATCCCGCTCACCCGGAAGTCAGCCGGGGTCCAGGTCTTCCACGTGCGTCGCATCTGCTTCACACCATTGCCAAAGCCGAAGCCAAAGCGGGAGCCACCCGGGAAGGAGCCACCTGGGAAGGCACCCCCACCACGTGCGCCCTGGAACACGCCATACTCGGGGAGGATGTTCTGTGAGAAGAGGGAGGGCAGCCGAGGGGCTCCTGGCATGCACTGGCCCCGGGCCCCCATGGGCTCTTCCCACATGCGCCCATAGCCTGAGGCCACTGGGCGGCCACTTCGAGCCTCACGGGCCCAGCCTTGTGCCCGCGGGCCAAAGGTGTCACTGCCACGCACGCGGAACTGGTCACGGTAGGCATCGTACTGGCCCTCATAGGCCATCTCCATCTCAGGGTCAAGCTCGCCATAGTCATAGCCTGACCGGTACAGGTCGCGTTCACTCAGCATGGCCCTTGAGTCGCAGGCCTCGTAGGAGTCGTACCTGGGGAGTAATGTGGCCAGCATCAGTTAGGCCTTAAGCCAGCTTACTGCTCTTTCCCTCCCCAAGCCTTCCTGTCAGGACAAAACCTGACTCCAGCCCCCACTCCACCGAAGTTCCATGTTTAGAAATGCCAGTTAAAGGACCCCAACTTGTCAAGACATGTGGCCATGTACCAGCTTGGGGGCACTGAGGAAGAACTGCTGACCAGGACAAGGGCTCCAGCTGCCACTGCCCTGTGAACACATGTGTGTGCCTGTAGATATAGTGCTGAGTGCAGCTGCTGGCCTTTTGGGGACGAGCTGAGCCCCGAACATCTTGGGACACATGGGCCATCCAACACCATGAAGATGTGTCCACCAAGGTCCAGGGTACCCATGAGAAATACTGCCCAAGTCTTAGCTCTGGGGGCTGGGAGAGCGGCAATTTCAGGCCAGTCACAAAACTCCACAGCCCCTCACCGCCCACAAGGACAGGGAGATAAAATGGGGAGCACATCCCAGGGAAGGTTCTGCAGGCCTGCCAGCAACTAAATATGGGCTGGACCATATTGACCCTGAAGCCCAAGGAGGGGCATTAAACCTACACAGCAACAGGCAAGGTGGACAACCTCTCACCCAGGAGGGAAAAGCCACCAGAGAGCTGCCACCCACCCCACCACAGGCACCAAAAAGAATTTAGGGATAATTCATCCCCTCGGAGCCCCTCTCTGACCTCTATTCCCTCCAGGTAATTGGGAAATGGAAGGGAAGGATGCCAACGGGAAAAGGGAGAAAGGGGATGGGGTGGGGAGGAGAAGGGAAGGGCAGGGCAGCGCAGCCATCAGGGAGCCCCAGCATAACCCCAGCCCCAGACCCTCCTCTCGCACAGGCCCTGGCCAGGCACCGGAATGCCATCCCCAAGCACCAAAGAACCTCAGCCAGGCAGAGCCCATGACACCACTGAGCCTCCTTGCTTTGGCAGCCTCAGCCCTATGTGCCCGGGGCTGTGGGGTGGATGCTAGAGTTTGTGCAAGTCAGCTCTCTGCCTCCCCCAGCAGTGGGCCCGGAGGCCTCACTTGGCTTCACCTATGCCGAGTAGGCCTCTCCACATTTTGCCCTCCACGTTTTTTAGCTGGAGCCCACCAGAAGACCACTCCATGGGGGAAATACATGTACCTCCCCACCAGAGACCCTTCCAAAAAAAAAAAACCACCAAACTCACTGCCATTGAGTTGATTCCAACTCACAGCGAACCCTCCTTGGGTTTCCAAGGTGGTATCACGAAATAAGTAGATTGCCCAGTATTCCTTCCAAGGAGTGGCTAGTGGGTTTGAACTGCCAGCTTTCTGGTGAGCAGTCAAATACCTTAGGCACTATGCCACCAGAGTTCCCCCAGAGACCCTTACTGGGGTCAAAAGCACTCCTGGGGGACTGTGGCACATACACACAATGGAATACTATTCAACACTAAAGAATAATGTAGAATCTGCTAAAGACCACATTGTTGTTGTTGTTATGTGCCGTCGAGTCAGCCCTGACTCATAGCGACCCCTCCTTGGGTTTCCGAGGCAGTATCACTACGGAAGTAGGATTGCCCAACCTTCCTTCCGAGGAGTGGCTGGTGGGTTTGAACCGCCAGCCTTCTGGTTAGCAGTCAAGTGCCTTAGCCACTATGCTACCAGAGCTCCTAAAGACCACATAACGTGGATGAATTTGAGGGACATTGTGCTAAGTGAAATAAGTCAACCACAGAAGGACAAATACTATATGAGTCCACTATTGCAAAAAATCGAGAAAAGGTTTATATATGGAAGGAAACACTCTTTGTTGGTTACTAGGGATGGGAGGGGAGGGGAAGGAAACATGCTAGATAGATTTAAAAAATATATATATATATGTAAACCAAAGATTATTAGTGGTTACCAGGGTAGGAGGGAGGGGAAAAGGGGAAGTTTTGTTTTCAAGGCACAGAGTTTATGCTAATGGTGGTGGACTATATTAGAAAAGGATAGCAATAATGGTGGCACAACATGAAAAATGTCATCAATGTCCCTGAGCTGTAAATGTGGATTGTTATGTTGCTGAATGTCTTGGTGTGTATGTTTTCACCACAATCAAAGATTTAAAAAAAAAAAAGCACTCCTGGGGCAACTACAGCTAAGTTTGTAATACAAGCTGCTGCAGTAGAGCAAGAGGGACTTAGCCTGAGTCCCTGACCCCCTTACACTTGCTGCTGGCCTCCCTGTAACTCAGTGTCCTCCCAGGGGCCCTCTCAATGATTCAGTGGGCCTGTGTCTCTCAAGGCACTTGCGCACACTCGGGAAGCACCCATGTTGGTCCTGGCCCTTTGGACGAGCAGCCCAGCTCGCATGGCCCACCCTGAGGGCTTAGTCCCACCTTGACATCACAGAGGATACAAGGTCTTGAGAGGACTCCTGATGCTGCCTCCAGAGGTCAGGGTCACTAAAGCACTTGCCTTCATTGAAAGCATTGGAGAAGCAGTCCAGGGGCATAAAGAGACCCAATGTAGTTTGCAGGGGGATATTCTCAGGCCCAAGCCAGCCCAGCAGAGCTCTGTCCCGCCCCAGCACAGAAGGGCACCCACCCCCTGCCAGCAAAGGGATACTGCCCACCAGGAGGAGAAAAGTCAGGGGAGGGGGGTGTAGCCAGGCTCACCCGGGAAAGCGGCAGCAGCTAGCTAGGAGAAGGCGTGCTCAGAGAAAGGCACAATGGGAGGGAGGCAGGATGTGCTCCCATGGGGCCTTGGAAGTCCTACTCACCTTTCTCCTCCCGAGCCGTACATGCTTCCTTGCATCATGTCTGTCTCCATATGCGACACCATGTCTAAGCGCTGGTTAATTTTGGATAAAACGGAATCGGCACTGGTGCTACCCACGGCACTAGGGTTTGCATTTGCGTCAGAACTAGGCATTTCCCACGAGTTTGAAGTGGCCATACCGTACCCATAGTTGCTGGTGTTCTCCTGGCCATAGCCGTAGCCATAGCCATAGTTCTCGTAGCCTGCAACAGGGAGACAGACAGAGACAAACACAGAGACAGGGACATCTACTGTCACAGAGACAAGCCAAGGACCCTTGCCACCCACATCTGGGTGGGCCCTAGCTGTTTCAGTGAGGACTTGCTGCAAGGGGGCAGCCAGCCGCAGGGACACCATCTCACCCTAACCAAATGGGCAGTGGCAGAGAAAAGGAAGAGGAGCAAGCACCGGGATGACACTTACCTCTGTTTGCCCCAGAGTTCCAAGTTCCATATCCTGCAAAAAGAAAAAGAGCAGTAACTTACAATCACTCACGACCCAAAACACCCAAACTCACTGCCACTGAGTCAATTCTGACTCATGGCAACCCCCACTGGGGTTCAAAGGCTATAAATCCTTACAGAAGCAGACTGCCCCATCTTTCTTCCGTGGTGCAGCTGGTGGGTTCAAACCACCAACCTTTTGGTTAGCAGCCAAGTTCTTTAACCACTATACCACCAGAGCCCCTACCATTTGCAACAGGAGAGTCTCATTCAGGCACGGATGAGGATGCTCACCCCCAGTCCCTGACAGGCCTTGGAGAAGCAACTACCCCAGCTGAGAAACCCTGAGCTTGAGATGACGCATCTGACCCGGGCATCGGCTGCCCTGAAAGTACCTGGTCCACAGCACATGGTCTTCTGTGGCTGACCCCCTTCTGCTATTCAAGATGCCTGCAGTTCTCAACGTGTGCAGCTAATGCATTTGGCTCCTACACGCCTCCCCAAAGGACTAGAATTAGAAAATACCCCCACCTCCAGATAAGCACTCAGCGTAGGAAGAGGCTGACTGCACAGTACAAGCAGCTCAGTCAGTATAGAACCTGCATCGATTCTGTAATCCAAATCATCCACATGAGCCACGGAAAGCAAGGAAAGCAGCCCCCGCCCAAGGCCCCTTAATGTCCACCTTGGCAGAAAGGGTCAATAAGGCCCTGAGTTGTGTGCTGTGCTGGAACAAATAAGCAGAGGGAAGGATCAGAAGCATATCCCAGCTCAAGAAGTGCTGTCTAGAGAGCAGTCAGCATTGCAAACCAATACACTCTGCATTTTACCACACCACATGATAAATATGCACACCTTCAGGGACATAAAGAACTGACAAAGCAAAGCCCAGTGGGAGCACCGAGCCCACCAGCTTGTGGGTCCTCCCCAGATGAGTTCCTGAGGACGGTGTCCAACTCCCTGTGTCTTAGCTGGGAGTACAGGTGGCTTCCTGTCTGCAGCACCTCTGCCAGAGGACACAGGATATGCTTGGACAACACAGGGCAAGGGACACGAGGTCGGTGAAGTAATCAGTGTGATCCATGGTAGTCTCGAGGCTGAAGGAGACCAAGAGCCCAGACGCAAAGAAATGCACACAGGCCCCCACAATCCAGCCACACTCAGGACAGAAAGGTATGAGAGAACTACCCAGGAGCTTCCAACAACCACACACTCAGCAAACCACAGGCATTAGAGCTCATAAAGCAAAATTCCTCTCAAGGTCAGAACCCAAAGCAGAGGCCTCCTGGTCCTTCACATCTTCAGATACTCCCTCCCCTGCACAAGCTGAGTAGAAGCAGCAAACCTGGGCATGCTCATCTCAGAGCACCACATGTTGACAAGAACACCAATACCAAGAGCAACATGGGCGGACAGAAGCTAAAAATCCCGCAGGACTGAGGGGAGACAGCCTGATAGGTAAGAGGAACACAAAGGGAACAATGCAATCAAGCTTGGGAGCTATTAAGAGCCTGGTCACGTGGCTGTCTAAAGGGGGTGGGCAGTGGACAGGACCCTAGCCATTTAAGGAGACAGGCCTGAGAGAGCAGAATCCAATCACCCATGCTCCAGCTACAGAGGGTCTGTAAGAACAGAGGGAAACAGATAAAGAAGAGAGAGCAGTAGGGGCATTAACTCTGCAAATGAGGACTTTACGTCTCAAGGACAGGCAGGTGGCCTCACATGACAGGGCTGTTGACAAATGTCAAAACCTGAGTCCTAGGAGCCAGCAGTAGGTGTTTATGGCTTTAATCACAGCAACTCAGACTCCCCAAGGGGCTCCCCAGGGGGGTCCTTCAAGATGAAGACTTTCTCCAGACTATGGCATCTGGAGACTCATAAGCATCCAAATGCATGCCTACTTCAGAGGACAAGACCATGCAGGAATTTTAAGGCATAATTAGAAAGGAATGGAAAAGATGCAGAAACAGGGGACCCATGGTGGGGCAGGTAGGGGGTGCAGAGGGAGAAGGAGGGAGGAAGAAAGGAAAGGAGATAATCATTGTAAGCAATATTTATAGAGCAAAAATAGAAAACAACCTAAACGTCCAATTTTAAAGTAACGATTAATCAGATTACGGTGTACCTGCTTATTGAAAGCATTCAAAAAAGAATTCAGTAATAAGCCTTATGTAGGACAAGGAAATAATTCCCACATTAAGCAAAATAAAACAGGATAAACAATTCATCTATAAAACAGGTATGTTAACAGAGATTAAATATTAAAATGGTGGGATCTTGGTTGACTTTTCTGTTGTTCAAAATGTTATTTAAATAAATGTTACATTATTCAAATCCCTATTTTTTTACATGATTGCCTACATATAAAAATCTCAAAAAATCTACAAAAAGAACTACTAATAAATGACTTTAGCAATGTTTACTACAAAGCCAATTATGAGGTAGAGAAAGCAACATGCCCTTTGATCTTAGTTCTTGAATGCTGACTTCACCTGAGGCTAATGAATACCTTGGGGCCTCATGTTGATTAGTTTCAGGACCCATGATATAATCAATCTATCAATGCCATGTTGTGAGGCAGATAAGCACCTGGAACTCTAAGGCTACGATGGGCTTCCTGGTTGGCAAGAACATCTGCTCTTAGGAAGGTACACATGTCCCTTAGGTCATGGAAGCTCCTCACTGGAAACCATCCCAGACCTCATCCATGCATCTCTTTATGTGTATGCTTTTCTGGTTATAATAAACCCATAGCTGGAAGAAGTATGACACATTCTCCTTGAGATTCTGAACATTGTTCCAATGAATTATCAAACCCAAAGGGGCAGTGAGAGCCAGCAAGCTAGCATCTGCCCAGCCTACTCTGAAGGACTGTGTCCATCTAACTTGTAAGTTCTGACCTAGCTCTGGGTGACTAGGGTTGAAGAGTGTGTGCCCTTAGGGTGGCTGGCGATGAGGATGGAGAAGTGGGAAGAGAGGACAGGATCTATTTCCACCACTGAGAGATTGAATTCATGCTGCTCCTTATCACACACTTGGCAACAAAGATGGGAGTTACCCATTTTGCCCCTTCCATAGTACAGTCAATACATAAAAAAATCAAATTTCTACATATTAGCAATTGGAAACTGAAGTTTTACAACAGCAATAAAAACACGAAATACTTAGGTGTAAATCCAACAAAATATGTGCCACACCTGCATTGAAAACTACACGATACTGATTAAAGGAACGAGTCCTAAGTAAATGGAGAGACATACTATGTTCAAGGAATGGAAAACTCGTATCGTCAAAATGCCAATTCTCCTAAACTAATCTATAAATTCGATGTGATATTAATAACATTTTCAGCAGGAATTTTTATACACTGACAAACTGATTCTAAAATTTATACAGAAAAGCAAACAAACCAGATTATCTGTAACAATTTTGAAAAAGAACAAAACTAGGTGACTCGTATCACCAGATTCCCAAACTTACTGTAAAACTACAGTAATCAAGATAGTGTGGTACTGGAGAAGTTCAGCTTATATGGATCAATGAGTAGAATCAGAGTCCAGAAATAGGCCCACACATATATCGTCAATCACTTGTCAACAATGGTGCAAAGGCACCTCAACAAAGAAAGGACAGTCTTCAAGAAATGGTGCTCAACACCTGCATATCCACAGGCAAAAACAAAATTGAACTTTGACCTATACCACTCAACTTACACAAAATTTAACTCAAAATGGATTACAAACTATAAATGTCTAAAAGAAAGCTTAGAATAAAATCTTTGTGACTTTTGAAGAGGCATAGATTTCTTACACACAACACAATCATGCTTCATTAGAGAATGACCGGTAAGTTGGCATTCACCAAATTAACAAGGCTTCTCCTTTGAAAAACACCGATAAGAAAATAAGACAAGCCACAGTCTGGGAAAAAATTATTTGCATATCACACATCTGATGAAAGGCTTATTATATTCAAAATATATATACCAAAGGGAAAATAATTCAAAAAAGACAAGCAATTCAGGACTATATTTGATTAAAAGAGGGAGCTAGAAGGGCAGGCCAGGGCAGGGCAAATTTCTCATTTATGAACTATCCAACCTTTCCTTACTCTGGGCTCAGGGTCAGGAGTAAATACCCACATGCTTGAATCCCACGACATATGAAGTCCTTCCTCCCCTGGGCCAGGCTGCCAGTATTTCAGGAGCCTTGCATACTACAGCCAAGACTTATTCATGACTCCTAAGGGCTCTGCACCTGAGCAGGCTTAGTCCTTCCCCAGACCTCATAGAAAAGCAAATTCCTCATCTTAGTAACCAAGATGTAAACCTTAATAATCCCAGAGAGAGACCCTTCTGGACAGATACCGGGGTTCCCACGCTTCAGAAAGACCAATTTTGTCATAGCTCAAGGCTGACTCAACATGTCAGCAAGGCAGGGTCTATGGGTCCTGTGAATGGTACTTCTAAATTATACAATTAGTGTCTAGTCACACTTGAGAAATTGGAACTGTTCACTCAGTCCTGTGTGGGAGGAGCCTACTGGTCTCTGAGATGGCCTATCTGTTCTCTAAGAGTATCTAATCTTCACAGGTGCAGCCTTTAGAACAGAGATCAGATACATTACCCTAGGGCTAAGTCAACAGCTTGCTTCAGACCAACCCTTCAGATTTAATTGACAGCTCTTCCTTCCAGCCCCTCAAGGGGATTTTCTGAAGCATTCTGTCAAAAACCACATGTACTTCTACAAAATGTTAAAGGGTCAAAGGAATCAATCGTGCCCAGACCAAGAACCACGCTTACTCAGCAATCCAGCATGTTCCTGGAACTGCCCCCACAGGGCTGTGCTGACTGCTGACCACTGCTAGACGAGTCACACTCCCCTTCTGGCTCCTACTGGAGCCCACTTACCGTAATCACAGGTGGGCTGAGCGCTGGTGTCTGAATATGTTGACTGCAAAGTCGTTTCAGATCCCTGGACAAAGCCTAAACATATGCAGAAAGTGGTTAATTCCCAAAAAAGCCACTTGGACATTACCACAGACCACGCACTGCCAACATGAACTGGCTGGAGGGCCCTCCCCTCTGTAGAAAGCCATCAAAAACTCAACTCTCAACACTGAAATTAACCCAAACGGTTGGTGTTGAGTAGATTAGACTCATAGCAACCCCATGTGCTTCAGAGTAGAACTGTGCACCATAGTGTTTTCTTGGCTATAGTCTTTATGGAAACATAAAGCCTTTTTTCCCACAGCTCCGCCGGACAGGTCCAAACTAGCCACCATTAATTACCCCTCCAAAGCATATAAAAAAATGGAAAGGCAAGCTAGGCTTAACTTGCTACGTACACCAATCAACCAAACCAAACCAAACCAAACCCACCGCCATTTAGTAGATTCTGACTCATTGTGACCCCATACATTACTGACTAGGAACAGTCCTTCATAGCGTATTCTTGGCTATAATCTTTATGGAAGCAGTTTACCAAGACTTTCTTCCATGGCACCACTGGGTGGGTCTGAATCACCACCCTTATGATCACAGACCACTTGTATCACCCAGGACCTTCTTGCTACCCCAGAGGTTACAAATTTCTTAAACAGTCTGAGCTAGTACTCAATTTTGATAAAAGAGTAGCCATATTACTATTCCATTAACTGAGGCAAATCTATCATATCACTGAGAAGCGAACCCTCCCTAGTTCAAAGGAGGATGAGGTTATTTTTGAAACTGTGTTATTAAGACAAACAATACTTGTTTCCCTCCCCCAACCTGAACCAGAAACTGCTTTATTTTTTGGCATTTTCCCAGTAGGGGAGAAAAAAAAAAAAAAGTGCACATTATATTACTTCTTAATGCATCTACAAATTGCTTTTTGTTGCTGTTGTTTTTAATTGCCCACACATATCAAATGCTTGGCCCCTGGTTAAGCATGTACCTTTTAAGACCAGTCAACAAGGATGCTGGCAACAGCAGATAACAGTTTGTGTACCAGTCCCCAGCTGGGGTAGAAACTTTATAGGCATTATGTCACCTCATCCTCACCTTGGCCCTGTGAGCAACACAAGCCCACATTCCTTACTATGGAATTCCAAAGTCCAAAAAGGTCTGAAATAAAAGTATTTCCCACAAATGGGCCAAAACTCATTTTGTAGCAAGAATGACCTGTGAGGACATTTACAGCTTTCATTTATCCCAGTTGGTGCAGAGAAAAATCTAACTACAGGGTGCTCGGTTCAAACTCCACTGGGGTGCTATGGAGCGTTCTTAGGTGAGATTTCCGGAACACATCCAGCTCCAAGGGTTTCAAATAAGGGGTTGGGGATGCACACTTTATCTTTCCCTCCTAGAGGTGAGCACTGAGTGAGACTGGGCACTGGGAAAGGAGAAAACCACAAATATACAGACATCTCTCTCTTTCACCCTCCCTAATTAAAGAGGGTATGAGAATGGATTTCCTGCAGGGCCCCTGGACCTGTCTGAGATGCTCAAATTCTAAGAATTGATGATTAACAACTATTCACAAGAAATGTTAAAAGCTCAAAGAGGATATTCAGGCGGCCAGCAAACATATGAAGAAATGCTCACAATCATTAGCCATTAGACAGATGCAAATCAAAACTACGAGATAACATCTGGCCCCAGCACTAGTAGGGATTTCAACAGGAGAGAAAATAAAATAGCAAATGCTGGCGAGGATGCGGAGAGATTGGGACTCTCATATACTGCTGATGGGACTGTAAAATGGTACAACCACTGTGAAAAGCAATATGGCGAATCCTTAAAAAGTTGGAATTAGAAATACCACTTGACCCAGCCATTCCATTACTAGGTATATATCCTAAAGAAGTGAGCGCCATGACAAGAACACACATATGCACACCCATGTTCATCGCAGCACTATTTACAATAGCCAAAAGATGGAAACAACCTAGGTGTCCATCAACTGAGGAATGGATAACCAAACTTCGGTACATACACACAATGGAATACTATGCAACCCTAAAGAATAAACTAGAATCTGTAAAATACCACATAACTTGGATGAACCTGGAGGACATTATGCTGAGTGAAATAAGTCAATCACATAAGGACAAATATTGTATTAGTCCATCATTGTAAAAATGAAGGAAAGCTTTATCTATGGAAGGAAATTTTCTTTGTTCATTACCAGGGGTGGGAAAGGAGAGGAAGGAAGGGAACACTGATAGATAGGTAGAGATAAGTATTGATTTTGGTGAAGAGAAGGGCAATGTACCTGTGGTGGTTATGTTTGTGTGTCAACTTGGTTGGGCCTGGCTGAGTGACTGGACAGCTGGTGGTAGTTATTCCCCATGATGAGAATGGCAGTCAACTCCATGGGTGGGATCTACCACAAGCAACTGAGTAGCTGCTTTGGGTATGTGGTCTGCTTCTCGTATATAAGAAGTAGTTGGTGTGATAGTTGGAGTTGTACGTCAACTTGGCTAGACGACAATTCTGTTCTGGTTACCTAGTGCCACTTTGACAAGAATATACCACAAATGGGATGGCCTTAACAAGCAGGAGTTTATTCTCTTACAGTTTGGAGGCTTTAAGTGCAAGTTCAAAGTGCCAGGCTCTAGGGGCTGGGTGGAAGCCCCTTAGCCTTAGGCTTCAGCTCTGCCTCCAGCTCCCAGCCCACTGAAGCTAGAGGCTTTTCTTCACTCAGACAGCTGCTGGCTGCTGAGGCTGCCAAGCCCAAGGTTGACAAGTAAAAAGGCATAGTCCTGATGTTACCAAACCACACAGCAGGCCATTAATTCAAGTTCATCGTTAAGTCCCCAGGTTGGCAGAGCATGGCAGGCTCCTGAACAACGACACGGCTACATGCAGGGTCCCAGGTACCATAAGCTAGAGACCATTCCCAAACTACTTCTTATATATGGGTAGCAGATCACATACCCAAAGCAGCTACTCAACTGCTTGTGGTAGATCCCACCATGGAGTTGATTGCCAGTCTCATCATGGGGAGTAAATACCACCAGCGGCCCAGCCAAGTTGACACACAACTATAACCACCACACTGGGAATGGTCTCCCATTTGTGGTATATTCTTGTCAGAGCAGTACTAGGTAACCAGAACAATACCCAATGTGAGTGATCAATACAATGGCATGGAGAAAGAAGAAGACGTAGAGAGGTACATGGGAGGTACATACAACAAAGATGAACCCTTCTGCACATACAGTATTGCATTGTCAGTGAAGGCAAACATGGAGATACGGGTGGATAGATGGGTGGACAGGCTGAACTATTAGGTATGTCTCTGCAGGGGGGAGTGTACCCAAGACCATGTATAGGGTTAGTAGACAATGTTTCTACAAGTGCATTGGTATGTTCTATAAGAATTCCCAGGTATACAGTAGAGTTGACCAGGGATAAGACTGTAGTAACTTCTTGGCCACAGCCAACTACCCAGAGGGAGCAAGGAGTTGGACCTGCGGGCTTGGGACCATAGTCACAGGGGACATCAAGCTCAATTGGCATAACATACTACACAAAACATTGTTCCACATCCTACTTTAGTGAGTAGTGACTGGGATCTTAAAAGCTTGCAAGCAGCCATCTAGATGCAATGATGGGTCTCTCCTCATCCAGAGCAAAGAAGAATGAAGAAAACCAAAGATTCACAGAAACAATTAGTCCAAGCAACTGGTAGACTGTGCAATCCTTAGCCTATACAACTATGAGACCAGAAGAACTAGATGGTGCCTGGCTACCACTCTCAACCACTCAGAGGGGGATCTATGTAGGAGATCCTGGATAGAGTGGAAGAACAATGTGGAACAAAACTCAAAATCATTAAAAAAAAAAAAAAAAAAAGAGGGGGACCAGGTTTCCTGGTCTGATAGAGCCTGATGGAGCCACTGAGACTATGGCCCCTAGCTGTCCTTCAGGTCTGGAACTGAACCCACTCCTGTGAACCCACTCCCATGGCCAAACAAAAGACAGGCATATGAAGTGAACATTTACACTAGGCAGATACGCTCCCTGGAGAGATCAATCATGGGAGAATAGAAGAGCTGTGTATGCACAGGGAGACAGCTGGGGGGGGGGCAGGAGTGCATGGGAGGAAAGATACAGGAAAGAGGTAACTACGGGGAGGAAGTGGGAGGGGAGCTGTTATTTTGTGGTAAACTATAGTCAATGTCATGAGACAAAGTATATGTGAACTGCTGTATGGAAAGTGAATTTGCTCTATAACATTTCACCCAAATAACAAAAAAAGAAAAAGAAATGCTAAAGGAATTCTTCTGAGAGTTCACCTGTACAGGGCAGCCTCACAATGTAAGAGGCACCTGACATCATCTGTCTTCTCCATTGTTTCCTCAACGAACTTTGGGGAACATATTTGTTCAACAACAGGGCTGCCAGTAAAATGACCCTAGGATTTAAGTAATCCAGTTTTAAGTAGATGCAACCGGGAGCCTACCACAGACTGGTATACATTCTGGGGTGCAATAAGCGAAAGATGTGGATCTATTCAGAAAATCCAGTTAACCAGGTGCCAGCGAGTCAATTCCAACTCATAGCGCCCCCAGTGTGTCAGAGTAGAATGGTGCTCCATAGAGTTTTCAATGGCTGTTTTTTCAGAAGTAGATAGCCAGGCTTTTCCTCTGAAGTGCCTCTGCATGAATTTGAACCTCCAACCTTTCGGTTAGCAACCAGGCACATTCACATTTTACATCACCCAGGCCCTAATTCTTCTCTGGGAAAAAGGGAAGACCACCCATCAAACCTTCAGGGCCCAGTGGCCAGTTCTGCCCAATCCTGTGCTCCCATGTTAACATTCTGCTCCACAATACTGTCTGTCAGGCAGGCCCTTCTTCAGCTAGCTACAGCTCCAATTACCAAAACGCTGGTGTCTGGCTCATGAACTGTCCTCTTCCTGTTCTGCTCTGAGTGCTATAATAAAACAAGACAGTTTCTGGTCCTATAGACCAAAAGGTCATGCAGCATACATAGCCCCTCCCTTGGGCCAGCCTGACAGCTTTATAACTCAAAGATATAAAAAGCTGCCCCACCTTATTCTTTTCCTTTTACAAAGAGAATTATTTGAAGGATGACTGGGAGTTCTAAAAAGCAACTAAGATTAGACTGCTTCCAACCTCTAATGTCTGAGCCCAGAGCAAGGTGGGAACCAGCCTCCAAGATGGCCTCTAGCAGTTCTTGCCTCTAACATTACATGGTCCCCTCCCAAACTAACAGGGCTGGCCATGTAAGCAATGTTGTTGTTATTGCTGTTATGTGCCGTCCAGTCGGACCAGACTCACAGCGACCCCTCCTTGGGTTTCCAAGGCAGTATCACTACGGAAGTAGATTGCCCATCTCCTTCTGAGGAGTGGGTGGTGGGTTTGAACCACCAGCCTTCTGGTTAGCAGTCAAGTGCCTTAGGCACTATGCTACCAGAAAATGACCAAGTGTGGCTTCTGAGGCTTCCTGCTTTCTCTTGGATCACTCAGGCTAGGGGAAGACAAGCACCATGTTGTGAAAACACTCCAGCAGCCCTCTGGATGATGATGAGTCCATGTGTTGAGGAGCCACCAGCCAGCACTGACTTGTCAGCTACTGCGTGAGCCACCTGGGGTAACCCTTCCTAGCCCCAGTCAAGTCCTCAGATGATGCCATCCCAAATGATATCCTCAATGCAACTTCATGGGAGACTTCAAGTCAGAACCCAGTTAAATCACTCCTGTATTCCCTATCCACAAAAGCCATGTGAGACAGTAAATGCTTATCCATGTTTTATACTACTTGATTTTTGGGGTGATTTATTACATGATAATTGGTAAATAATATACCAAGCCATCTTGTTTTTGCCATCAATGTGTGTTTTTGTATTTAAATGTTCCTATACAAAACCTCAGAGCATTTCAGACCTTTGTCTGAAAGCCTGCCTCTGAATTTGTGTCTTGTTTTTTCCATTGTTCCCACTTTCTCCTCATTGAGAGATGGATTGTCCTTTTCCAAATGTGAGGTGTGGACTTCCTGCAGGAAGCACTCTGGCCTTTGTTCTGTGTTTTCTAGCATAGCAACATCTGAGAATAATGAATAGGGGCTGACCAGACTAAGAGGGACCATCTGGGGGCCAATGAATGAGGTAATCTACAATAGGCACATGGAAAGGCTGATAAGAGCCCTAAAAAGTTTCCGGTTGGTGACCATGCATGAGAGAGGGTAGTGCATCCCTCTCTGTGACACAGAAGTTCCACACTATGCCATCTCACCCTCCTGGACTTCACACTGTATCTTTTCATTTGTAACCTTTTTGGCTGTCATAAATCTCTAGCCATAATATGGTGTGTTGTTGTTTTTGTTGTTATGTGCCATCGAGTCGGCCCCGACTCATAGCAACCACTCCTTGGGTTTCCGAGGCAGTATCACTACGGAAGTAGGATTGCCCAACCTTCCTTCCGAGGAGTGGCTGGTGGGTTTGAACCGCCAGCCTCTTGGTTAGCAGTCAAGTGCTTTAGCCACTATGCTACCAGAGTTCCTATGATATGGTGTATTCTGACTGAATTCTGGGAGTCATTCCGGTACATTAACAAACCCATAAGGGCAAGGAGAGCCAGCAGGGACTGGCGTCTACCTGTTTGGCAGCCTGAAAAAAAGGTGCCCTTCTAATTTGTGAGTTCTGACCTAGCTCTGGATTGCTAAAACCAAAACCAAACTCACTGACGTGGAGTAGGATCCGACTCATAGTGATCCCTCCTTGGGTTTCTGAGGCGGTACCACTACAGAAGTAGATTGCCTAACTTTCCTTCCGAGGAATGGCTGGTGGGTTTGAACTGCCAGCCTTCTGGTTAGCAGTCAGATGCCTTAGGCACTAAGGGTACAACAAATGCTGCTTGGGAAGCTGGTCTGAAAGACAGTGTCTGTCTAACTTGTGAGCCCTGACCCAGTTCCGGGTGGCTAGAGTGGGGAAACATGTTGCATGAGCCACTGGCAATGAGAACGGAGATCTGGGAAGGTGAGGACTAGATCCATTTCCACACTTGGGGAACTGAATTCATGATCCTTACCAGGCAGTTAGCCATGAAGGTGGGATGTTCCCACTGTGCCTCTTGCTTAGTGCACCAAGTATAAACAAAGTAACTGAATTTAATCTAAAAAGCAGGAGTTAACAAAAAGACAAATTTTAATCATCTTCTTCAGGGCTCCAAAAGTTATCCTTAAAGGCAAATGCTTAGCTGGAACATACCTTAAAATTCCTTTGACTTTAATAACTTGCTTCTTAAAAGGGAAAGACTCATATTATAACGCTACCCTGGTTTTCAATTTGCCATAATCAAGGAGAAACTAATTGCTATTTCCTTAGTGTGGCTATGTCAGTGCCCACCCAAAGCTGGAATTTGGGTTTCTTCAGTAGTCCTGACCCTGAAAACCACGGAACTGGCTTCCATTCTCAGGAAAACTCAGTCAAGAGCATTACAAGCAACAAGAGGCTTGATACTACTGACATTGCCATGGGAGCTGGACATTTAGTAGCATCCCTGGCTGTCTCTAGGTGGTACAATCAAGCACTCAGCTACTAACTGAAAGGCTGGCAGTTCAAATCCACCCAGAGGCACCTTGCAAAAAAGGTCTGGTGATCTAAAATAGCAACCACTCAAAACTCTATGGAGTACAGTCTACTCTGACACACATAGGGTCACCATGAATCAGAGTCAACTTCACAGCAACTGTTTATTTTTTTCTTTCTGGCCTCCTACCCACTAGATGCCAGTTATGTCCTCATCCCCAGTTGTGACACCCCAACACGTCTAAACATTGCCAAATGTTCCCAGGGGTAGTATCGCCCCTGGTTGAGAACTGCTGGGTTAAGGGATGGTTGCTAGAAAAACTGGGTATCATGCCACACTCCAGACCTGTGAGCCAAAGGAGGAAGGACTGGCATCACCTTTTCGTCTAACCAGCTGCTATAGAGTCAAATTATGCTCTTTAGGGTTTTCAATGGCTGATTTGTTAGAAGTAGACAACCAGGCTTTTCTTTCAAGGCACCTCTGGGTGGACTCAAACCATCAGCCTTTTTGCCTAAGCCAGCAAAAAGCAGCCTGCAGTAGAGCTCTAGAGGCCCAGGCCCCATCTCAACCCTGAATATTCTGACTAAAACGCGGTTACTCAGCAACCACACACTGCTCAACCCTTTAATACACTCATCAACAGGGAGGATCCATCTATGGCTCCTGGGTGAGAAAAAACCCAGGCAAGCCTCTGGGCTTCACCCAGGAAAGCTTTACAATCATTTGAGTACAGCCATGGCCCCTAATATTCTCTTCACCTGTCCTCCCCTTTGCTCCAATCCCATTGGCTCCTTAGCTGAGCATCAAACACGCCAAGCACATTCCTGCCCTAGTGCTTCTGTGTCAACAGCTCCCTGGGCCAAATAGCCTCACTCCCTCTCTTCTTTCTTTCGTCTTTTCAGAGGTCTTCAGCCACCCTACGGAAGGAAACAACTCCTCAGAGCATAAACACTCCCTTCCCGTGAATTATTCATTTTGCCTACTGAGGTCTGTCCCTCGCCTACCAACTCACTTGATGAATTTTTATTCTCAGTGCTTATTTTACACCAACAGATCTCTGGGTAAAGCAAATGGTTAAGCAATTGGCTATTAACCCAATGTTGGCAGTTCAAGTCCACTCAAAGGCCTCTCAGGAAAAAGTACTGGTTACCTGCTTCTGAAATATCAGCCACTGAAAACCCTGTAGAGCAGTTCTACTTTGCATACATGGGGTTGCCAAGAATCGGAGTAGACTCAACTGAATTTTTTTTTTTTTTTCTGGACATAATTTAGGAGTCCCTGGGTGGCCCTAACGGTTAATCACTCCACTAACCCAAAACACTAGTGGTTCGAACCGACCCGGAAGATCTAAAAAAAACACTTTGCTATCTGCTTCCGAAAAGCAGATGCTTCACAGTCATTGAAAACCCTATGGAGCATAATTCTACTGACACACATGGAGTCGCCATAGGCGGCACGGATACTAAGCATCGACACAGCAAATAAGACAGATGCTGAATGTATCAATGTGGAAGCCAACTCTTCCTCCTCCTCAAGGCCCAGGCCCGCCCCGGGGTCCCGTTCCAGCTCAAATCCTTCAGATATCTATTTGTCCCTCCGAAGCCTGGCGCCTCTCCCAGCTCCGGGGCAAGCACCGGGAGGTGGGGGCTGTGGCACTCTGCGGGAACACAACGCGGGGGAAGGCCCACCAATGGCGGCTGGCTGGTTCTAAGGACCAAAGCCTGAAAAGCAGCGACCTAAAGCGCCGAAGCCCGAGGCGGCTGGGTCTTCTGAGACCAGAAGCCTCAGGCGCCGAGGCCCAGGGCTCCCAGACACAACGGCTGGAACCGAGGCCTCAGACGGCCGGGCCCCGAGAAGCGAAGCTGGGAAAACAGAAAACCGGGGGGTCAAGGCGTGAGGGACGCGACCTGACGCGACAGACCTGCGACGCCATTTTGTGGCCGCAAAGCGGCCAGTAACCTGGCCGGGGAGATGTGGGCAAATTCCGCGCGGCCTCGCCACTTACCCCTCCTGCCCCCTGCGGGAGCTCGGCCCCCACCCTGCAGGAACTCACCTGTGTAACTCATGGCGGCGGCAAACACTACGTCTGCTCCTCCGACAACTGTTCCGCGCGCCCGGCACCGCGATACGGGCGACAATATCCCCGGCCCCTTCTTCCCACAGCCGAACCCCGCCTCCCGACCGCATTGGTACGCGCCAGCGTCTAGCTGCATACTTATTGGATAGCTATGCTGTCTATCTGAGAGAACCCTAATGCCAGGGGCTGAAAATGATGCCAATCTATACAATCCCGCCCTGCTCCTGCCTTTCATTATATTTACCCCGCGGTCATTGGTCTAGAAAAGGGGGCGGGGGCGGAGTTTGTAGATTCCTGTGGGGTTCGACGGGGGCAGAAATGTGACTACGGAAAGGTCCGAGACCCAAGCTTGGTCAGCCGGGGAGGAGCGCTTGTGCGTTGGCGGCCCGCCAGAGGGAGCCGGGCGCAGGTGTAGGAAGACCTGTGTGGTCCCAGTTCTGCCACCCACCCAATGTGCTGTGCGAGCCTGGAGTATCTTAATTTCTCTGGGCTTCAGCTCCGGAATGAACTCCAGCTCCGGAATGAGCTCCGAAATGAAACATGCTGAAGCCATGCAGGAATAGAAAATTATGACTAAGCGCCAGACACGAGCCTGGGCCCACGTTCAAACGTTAAAGGGGATCTGTGGGTAAAGAAATCAGTTGTATAACATGATTAATGTTGTTGATGTCAGTAAATTCTACACGTGAAAAATGGCAAGTTTGTGTTGTATATATATATTTATGGCAATAAAATTAGTCCAATGCTTGGCAGCAAAAAAATGTTGAGTTTTATAATTAATTTTTATATAACTGTATTTTGTATGATTATACAGTGCATAAGAGCTCTGATAGCATAGTGCCTAAGGCGCTTGACTGCTAACCAGAAGGCCGGCGGTTCAAACCCACCAGCCACTCCTCGGAAGGAAGGTTGGGCAATCCTATTTCTGTAGTGATACTGCCTCGGAAACCCAAGGAGGGGTCGCTATGAGTCGGGGCCGACTCCACGGCAAATAACAACAACAACAACATACAGTGCATA